TCACCACAATCAAAATAACAAATATTTCTATCATCTTCCAAAATTTCTTTATGTACTCTCATATCCCATCCCTCCATCCATACCCTCCCCAGGGAACGATGAATCTGCTTTTGGTGACTATTTGTAAGATTATATTTTTCAAATATTTTCTTCATTTTTTCAATTGCGTTTTTTGTCTTCTAATTATTGAGATATGAGAGTTTCTTATATATCCTGGATACAAGTCTTTGTTGGATATGTTTTGCAAATATTTGCTCCCAGTCTGTGGCTAGCCTTTACTTCTCTTAACATTATCTTTCAAAGAAAAGAAAATTTTCATTTTGATGAAGTCCAGTTTATCAATTTTTATTCTTTTATAGCTTCTGGTTTTTGTGTTTTATTTAAGAAATCTTTGCCTAACAAAAGGTAGCAGAGAAAAAGGAGAAAAAGATTTTCTCCTATGTTTTCTCTTTGAAATTTTTTGGTTTTAGCCTTTGCATTTAGGTCTGTGATCTATTTCAAGTTAAATTTAGAATATGTTATGAGGTAAGAACTGAGTTTCATTTTGGGGGAAGTTTTGTTTTGGGAGGCATGACCAAATAACCCAGTTATTTATTGAAAAGATTATCCTTACCCCATTGAATTGCCTTAGCATCTTTATCAATAATCAATTGGCTATATATGTGTAGGTCTAATTACAGACTCTCTATGCTCTTTCATTGATCTATATGTATATATGTGTGTGTGTATGTGTGTATCTATCTATCTATCTATATATATATATACACACACATATATATATATCCACTACCCCACTCGATTACTGTCGAGCTTTAAAAAGTCTTGAAATCATGTATTTAAGTCCTCAACTTGGTTCTTTTTTTTTCCTCAAAATTATTTTGGCTACTCTAGCTCTTCTATATTTCCATATAAATTTGTAATTGGCATCCTAGTTTCAAAAACAACAACAAAAATCTGGCTGTGATTTTGATTGGAATTGCATTATTTCTAAAGATCAATTTAGAAAGAACTGACTTTTTAAAAAATAAATTTATTTATTTATTTTTGGCTGTGTTGGGTCTTCATTGCTGCACACGGACTTTCTCTAGTTGCGGCAAGTGGGGTCTACTCTTTGTGTTACCCGGGCTTCTCATTGCAGTGGCTTCTCTTGTTGTGGAACACAGGCTCTAGGCGCGCGGGCTTCAGTAGTTGTGGCTCGCAGGTTTAGTTACTCCACAGCATGTGGTATCCTCCAGGACCAGAGCTCGAACCCGTGTCCCCTGCATTGGCAGGCAGATTCTTAACCACTGCGCCACCAGGGAAGTCCCAGAACTGACATCCTAACAGTATTTTGACTTTCCCAATCCATGAGCATAGTGTATCTCCCTATTTATTTAGGTCCCCCTTTAACACTTCACAGTAATTTTTTTTAACATCTTTATTGGAGTATAATTGCTTTACAATGGTGTGTTAGTTTCTGCTTTATAACAAAGTGAATCAGCTATACATATACATATATCCCCATATCTCCTCCCTCTTGCATTTGCCTCCCACCCTCCCTATCCCACCCCTTTAGGTGGTCACAAAGCACCGAGCTGATCTCCCTGTACTATGCGGCTGCTTCCCACTAGCTATCTATTTTACATTTGGAAGTATATATAAGTCCATGTCGCTCTCTCACTTTGTCCCAGCTTACCCTTCTCCCTCCCCATGTCCTCAAGTCCATTCTCTACATCTATGTCTGTATTCCTGTCCTGCCCCTAGGTTCTTCATAACCTTTTTTTTTTTTTTTAGATTCCATATATATGTGTTAGCATACGGTATTTGTTTTTCTCTTTCTGACTTACTTAACTCTGTATGACAGACTCTAGGTCCATCCACCTCACTACAAATAACTCAATTTCATTTCTTTTTATGGCTGAGTAATATTCCCTTGTATATATGTGCCACATCTTCTTTATCCATTCATCTGTTGATGGATACTTAGGTTGCTTCCATGTCCTAGCTATTGTAAACAGAGCTCAATGAACATAGGAAAAAATCTGTAAAAATACAAACACATGGAGGCTAAACAATACACTACTTAATAATCAAGAGATCACAGTAATGTTTTGTAGTTTTTGATGTTTCAGTCTTGCACATCTTTGCCAAATTTATCCCTAAGTATTTGATATTATTTGATGTTATAGTAAATGGTATTTTCAATTTCCAAATGTTTGTTTCTAGTGTAGAGAAATACAGTTGATTCTTTTATTATTAACCTTGTAGTGTGGAGATGGTGAGGTACATTGATTAATTTACAAATGTTGAATAATCTTGCATGTTTTGGATGAATCTTAATTAGAACTGATATATCATTTTTTTATTTCGCTGGATTCAAAATATGAATTGGGAAGTATTACCCCCTCTTCAAGTTTTTGAAAATGTTTGTGTAGAATTGATACTATTTCTTCCTCAAATGTTTGGTAAAATTCACTCTTGAAGCCGCATGAGCCTAGAGTTTTCTCTGTGAGCCTAGAGTTTTTCTTGTTTTTGATGACAAATTAATTTTTTTTTTTTTTTTGCTGCACCATGCAGCTTATGGGAGTTTAGTTCCCTGACCAGGGATAGAACCCAGGCCCTCAGCAGTGAAAGCATGGAGTCCTAACCACTGGAACGCCAGGGAATTCCCCAAGTTCAAATTTTTAAATAGATAATCTATCACTAATATCTATTTCTTTTTAAGTAGTTTGTCTTTCAAGGACTTTCTCCATTTCACTTAGGTTGTCCAATTTATTGGCATAAAGTTGTTCATAATACTTACATGTTATCCTTTTAATGTCTTTAGGATGTTTAGTAATTTTTTTTTATTGTTCCTGATATTAGTAATTTGGATCTTCTCTTTTTCCTCTAATCAGTTTGACTAGAGTTTTCCCAACACTTATCAATTTTCTCAAAAAGCCAGTCTTCAGCTTCACCAATTCTATTGTTTTTTGTTTGTTTTCTATTTTGTTGATTTCTTCTCAGATATTTTAATTTCCTTTCTTCTGCTCACCTTTGGATTTAATTTGCTCTTCTTTTCTAGTTTCTTAAGATAGAAGCTTAGGTCATTGATTTTATTTATAAATAAATTTATTTATTTTTTAAACTTATTTATTTTTGGCTGTGTTGGGTCTTCATTGCTGCACGCAGGCTTTCTCTAGTTGTGGCGAGTGGGGGCTACTCTTTGTCATGGTGCGCGGGCTTCTCACTGCGGTGGCTTGTCTTGCTGCAGAGCACGGGCTCTAGGTGCGTGGGCTTCAGTAGTTGTGGCACATGGGCTCAGTAGTTGTGGCTCGGGGGCCCTAGAGCACAGGCTCAGTAGTTGTGGCACATGGGCTTAGTTGCTCTGCAGCATGTGGGATCTTCCCCAACCAGGGCTCAAACCCACGTCCCCTGAATTGGCAGATGAGTTCTTAACCACTGCGCCACCAGGGAAGTCCCGGTCATTGATTTTAAATGTTTATACCTTTCTATTGTAAGTGCTACAAATTTCTTTTAAGCACCCCACAACTTTTGACATGTCATGTTTGCATTTTCCTTCAATTCAAAATATTTTAATTCCTGTGACTTCTTTGGTTCATGGGTAATTTAGAAAAGTGTGTTGGGTTTCTAATTATTTGAAGATCTTCAAGGTATCCTTCTGTTATTAATTTCTAATTGAATTATGTTGTGGGCAAAGAACATACTTGGTATGATTTGGAAACTTTAAATTTATTGAGACTTGTTTTATGGCCAAATGGTTTATTTTGGTCAAGGTCCCACGTACACTTGAAAATCATGTGTATCATGCATAAGTTGGGTGGCGTGTTCTATAAATGCCAATTAGGTCAAATTGGTTGATAATGTTGATCAAGTCTTCTGTATTTACTGATTTTCTGCCTACTCATTCTTTCAATTATTGAAAGAGAAGAGTTGAAATCTTTAACTGTAATTGTGGATTTGTCTGTTTTTCCTTTCAGTTTGATTAGTGTTGGAGCAAATGGTTTGCTTTTTATTTTAACTTTGCATCTGATTCTAATATGCAGGCAGAATTAAGGAATGTTGCTCTGAAACTAATAGTTCTCAAACTTTAGCACGCATCAGAATTGCTTAGGGGGCTTATTAAAACACAAATTGCTTTTGCTTCTGATTCTATAGTCAGAAGAACCAGAGTTTCTGATTCTATAGGTCTGGAGGAATTTGCAGTGCTCACAGTTCCCAGGTGGTGTCAATACTGCTGGTCCACAAGGCCACATTTTAAAAATCACTGATTAAGCCACTTTCTCAACCTCGGTTGCATATTAGAATCACCTGAGGAGCCTTAAAAATTATGATACACAGGCTACATCCAGACCAATTAAATTTAGGATCTGCATGGGGAAAGGGGAGTAGTGGGACCCAGGCATCAGTATCCTTTAAGCTCTCCTATGTGACTCTAATAAATAATCAAGACTAAGAATCACTGCTCTATACTAAAGTAATGATCTAGATTGCCCAAGAAAGTCTTTAGGGCTCATTACCAACACTTCATCAATGTCCTCTGAGTAAAAAACACTGTGGAAGTACCAGCAAACAACAGGTTTACTTACTGTTAGTGTACTAAGGTAGGAGACTGAGTTTTAGCTCCTCCTCTGCTGCTGTCATCTAACACATTTGTAAAATGAAGCCAATAGTTCTTGACCATTTCTTAGACTATAGAAAGGTTCTGACAACCAATAACATTCTATCTTTTATCATTGGGGAAAAAATTCCATTAACTAAATATATTTAGAAATTAAAACAATCTTTAATGATAGTTATTTTCCATAATTGGGTTTTTATACATAGCTTATTTAGAGAAGAAAAATATCGACTAAAAATTATGCAGGTAAATTTTATCCTACCTAATACTTCCAGGGAAATTCTTGTGTAATAGAGGTATACTCCAAATATCCTTTAACAGCCATTCCAACAGTAAAGTCATGAAATAAGAATCTTTTCAATATTCCATTAACCCTCCCATTTTCCTTCATCATGCACAGGGACTTTGACCAAGAAGAAAAATTCTGGCAGAAGAATTATGACAAACAGTGCTGACACTGGACTACAGCAATAACACAGCCTTCTGTTTTTCCTCTCCTCTCCCTCTTTTTCTTTGTTAAAAAATTTTCAGAGTAATTATACCCAAATTACAAGTCATGTAATTTTTACAATACTCATCTGAGACAGGCAGAACAGGTATTACTCTCCATATTTTTCAGCTGAGAAAACTAAAGCAGGCAAAGAGAGACTGCACAAGGAACTAGCCTATAACACAGGTTCTTTGACTGCAGGTACAAAATTTTCTCCGACTGAGGGGAAGAAAAAATGGGCATAACTCTAGACAGGAAAACCAGAGATCTTCAGCTTCATGAGCCACCTTGGAGATTCACTAGGCGAAGGACCATTATGGACAGAAGGGAATATTTAGAGATGAAGTCATCTAATCACAGTCATTTTACAAAAGGGAAATCTGGCTTGCCCTAGGCAGCTAGAAAATGTGAAAAGAGTCTCGGACTGACAGGCAGGAGACCTGAGTTCTGGTCTCATTGTGCCACTAAGTTTCAGACCAACCCACTTAGCCATCAACCTACAGACATTTGCAATTGGATGTCCCACAAACATTTCAAACTCAAGTCCAAAATTCTTTCCTCTTCCTCACCCATCCCCCACCTCCTCCATCTCCTGGGATGATCATCTCAATAAAGGGCCCAGGGCAGGATCCTGGGAATCATCCCTCTCCTTCATCTCTCATGTACCCTCAGTTATACCAAATTCTGCTACGAATTTTCAGATCCACCACCTCCTCCTCCTTTCCATTTCTTCTGCCACTGTCTCAGTTCAGGCCCTCACTATCCCTGCCTGGGTTAGGTTACTACTGTTGTCCAATAGGTCTCCTGGCTTCTACTCTTGCCCTGTTTCAATCCATCTGCCACCACTCCTGCCATCACAGAGGGCTTTCTAAAACAAAAATTGTCTGTCACTGTGCTTTCCATCACCAACTAGACGAAGCCTAAAGTTCCAAGCAGGATACCCCTATCTATTTGTGATTTGGCCTCTGCCTTCTTCTCTCACTTCATCTATCATCACTCATAACTTCAGCCAAGCCCAAGTTTTGCAGTTCCTCCAATGTCACCTTTGGCTTTGACACTAATGGTTCATTCTTCCTGGAAGTCTCCCCCTTCTCCTACCCATTGCCTGGCTAAAATTAACTCAGCCTTCTAGAATCAGCTTAGGTTGAAATTTTTCCTGGCACCCCTTTAAAATGTCCCTTTGATACTCCCATAGCATCTTGTGCAAACAAAAGGGTCACTACTCACCCTGAACTGTTTGCTCACACATCTATGTCCTTCACTAAACCATGAGCTGTGGGATGGCAGGGACAGCATTCTATTCAGTGTTTGGTATTGAATATTCATCCAACAAATATTTGAGGACCAAATTTAAGCCAAATGTTGTAATGGATACACAGTGACCAAAGCAAAGATACACCTTTCTATCAAGTGGGAATCTACATCATAAATAAACGATGAGATAAATAAGTAAGAGTGAAAAGTGCTGTGCAGAGAATTAAATCATGTGATATGAAAGTGACTGGGTGGCTACTTTAGATTGGGTATGTCAGTAAGTTCCCTCGGGACTTCCCTGGTGGCGCAGTGGTTGAGAATCCGCCTGCAAATGCAGGGGCCACGGGTTCAAGCCCTGGTCTGGGAAGATCCCACATGCTGTGGGGCAACTAAGCTTGTGTGCCACAACTACTGGGCCTGCGCTCTAGAGCCCGTGAGCCACAACTACTGAGTCTATGTGCCACAACTACTGAAGCCCGCGCACCTAGAGCCCGAGTTCTGCAACAAGAGAAGCCACCGCAATGAGAAGCCCACGCACCACAACAAAGAGTAACCCCTGCTCACTGCAACTAGAGAAAGCCCACACGCAGCAACGAAGACCCAATGCAGCCCAAAATTAATTAATTAATTAACTTAAAAAGTAAATAAATAAGTTCCCTCTGAGGAAGTGACATTTAAGCTGATAAGTGAATGCCAGCGTGCCACGTATTCAGAGAGAGGAGCGTTCCAGCAGGGAGGACTACCAGTACAAAGGCCGGAAGAACCGAAGGCGGCCCATGTGGCTTGAAACGAGCGTGGGAAAACAGTGAAGATGGGGTCAGAGAAGCAGGCACGGACCATGTTATATAAACTTTGTCCTCCAGAGTAGAGTGTTCCGTTTTTTTTTTAAAAAATAAATTTATTTATTTATGGCTGTGTTGGGTTTTTGTTGCAGTGGCAGGCTTCTCATTGCGGTGGCTTCTCTTGTTGCAGAGCACGGGCTCTAGGCGCGTGGGCTTCAGTAGCTCCATGGCTTGTGGGATCTTCTGGGACCAGGGCTCGAACCCCTGTCCCCTGCATTGGCAGGTGGATTCTTAACCACTGGGACACCAGGGAAGTCCCGGAGTAGAGCTTTGATTTTATTCTAAGTGTGGTTGGGAGTGACATGATCTGATTTACATTTTCAAAAAGATCTCTCCAGGACAGCTGTGTGGATAATGGGCTGTGGGGAGTGGAAACGGAAACCAGTTTGGAGGAGAGAAGCAACGGTGGTCTGGGGGTGGTCACTGCGGTTTAGGAGAAGGTGGGCGTTTGGGGGACATACATGTGAGAGAGCCTAGGACGGCTGATGAGCAGGTGAATTAAGACTCAGAGCATGTAGGTTTTTGGCTCGAGCACCTGGGTAGTTGGTGGGGAACTGAACAGGCGCTCCGCCGCTTCTAGGAAGAAGGAGGGCTTGAAAAAGTCCCTTCGCCTGCCCGGACCGGGGAACAGTTCAGGTCACGCAGCTGTAAAGAGACACGCCCAGACCCGCTGCCGGTGCTCGCCAGCGCCGGGAGCCTGAGAGAGCCCGGCGGGCGGCGCGCGCTGACCCAGCCTCCACTTGCCCCGTGGGGATTTCCGCGGCCTCCGGGCGGGGCCGGAAGAGGAAGTCTGCGCTGCAGTGGCGGCTCCAGCAGCCGCGGCGGCCCCAACCCAACCCCGCTGCCCGCCCCTGTCGGGCCCAGCCACCGAAGCAGCGCCGCGAGGGGACCCCGGAACCCGCCCCGCCTCGCGCCGCCGGGCGCTCACCAGGCAGTCTGATGGGGCTGCAGCAACCGCTGACCCCCGCCGCCGCCGCCCTGCTGTGGGGCTTCCTGCTCCCTCTGGTAAGGGGGACGGGCGGGCGCTCGGGCCTCCCCGGGGCGGGGCCGGGCCCCCCACCTTCCGCCGCCGCTGCTGCTGCTGCCGCCTCACCCCCACTGGCTCCCTGCCGGCCTGCCCTCTCCCGCGCCTACGCGGCCTGCTCTGGGTTTTTGCTTTCATACCCATCCCTGTCCCACTACTCCCTTTTGGTCCAGCCCCCATTCCCGTCCTTTGAAGTCCCGGTACCTACCCCCGAGAAAGCTACCTGCCGAGCCCCTAATACGACTCGGACTTTGGTGCTTCTCCTCTGTAGTTTCACTGTTCCAGGCGTTTTGAATTGACCTCTGAATTTTATTGTCCAGTCTTTCTTACCGCTGCTTAACCCGCACTACCCCCAACCCCGAAAGAAGGAAAAAACGTATACGCGATCCCTGGATGTTTAGCGGTTCAAGGACTGCGCTTTAGTTTAATTGCTCTCATACAGATTTTTTTCTTTCTCTAGTTTCTGTTTCGCCTTAGGGCTCATTTGATTCCATTTTGGGGCTTTCTGGTAACAGTAATAATTTAAAATAATTTCTTAAAGAACACACCAAAGTGTAATTCTTTTAGTGGGTTTTAGTGGGTTTCAATTCTCTGCCTAGTTTAAAGGGGAGGAGAGCCGGTTAAGTAACAGTAACAAATATGTGTACACAAGTTTGTTTTCGTAATTAGAGAAAAGTAATAATGTCTTAAAATTCAACACCAAGCAGAAGGTTCAGTGAATGGGTGGTAAGGACGCCAGTGTTCAGTTTTTGTTTCTTGTAAATTTCACTTAGGGAGTTTCAGGTTGGAAACTTTTATGAGCTTTATACAGAATTGGTATGGTGTATGCCTGTCTAGTTCTTTCCATTAGAATGTGTAACTTCTCTGAAAGAGTATATTTTGCTTACTCTCCAGTTTAAATGATTACTACCAGTGAATATATTCAATATGAAAGTGTTTTTAACATTTATTGAGAAACCAAACTCAAAGCCTGAAGTGGTTAAGTGCCTTCCTTGTATTCATAACTTTGCTAGGCAGCATTAGGAAGAATGTATGTAAAAATTGCTTGAGGTGGGTCGGGGGGAGGAGTAGGATATAAAGAGAATAGCAACGTGGCAGTGTTGGTCTGAATCTTTGAGGTGTTGTTTACCTTGTAATCAGACGTGTCCAGAAGATAATTCAGGTAGTATGTAAATACACATAAAACTATAACCTAGGTATGAAATTTTTTGAGTGTTTTTGCACTCATTTTCATTTGAACTTCTTAAGCTAATTGTAAGAATATATACATGTGTGTATAAATTCCCACCTGTCCTTTCTCAACACAAATTAATAATTAACCTAATAATACATCAATTGCTCAAAAACTCTTATTGAAATTCTTAATAAAAGCTCTGAAGCCTCTCACTAGAAAAATGGAAGCAAAATTTTCATGTAATTTCAAGTGCTTCACAAGTCTAAAGTTTGTCCGTGTTCTAAATTGTAGCTAGTCTGTCTCTCCCATATTCTAGATTTTATTCTTTTTATATTGCACATATATATTTTGTCATATTTCACCATGTTAATCTTGAGTTCTATATTCCCCGGTTGCGGGGTTGTTGTGAGGACTCAGTAGCATTCTTTCACTCCACAAATATTTAGTGTGGTATCTCTTATATGCCAGGAGCTGTGCTGGTAACTGTGAATACACTGACAAGATGTTTCGAAATTGGGAAGATCTTTTTCAGTGCTAACTAGTATTATTGATTTTCTATTTCTTAGTGATTCCATAGTGGATTTTTTTCTTCTACACTCTTTCTTCCTTTAAATTCATGAAAGGATCTCTTTCTCATTCCTTTCCTTTTCTGAGGAACTCAAATAAATCTGGTATCCTTTTTCTCAGCAGGAGCTCTCTCTTTCCTTCTGTTTACTAGATACCTAGTTCCTTTCCTCCACTATTTTAAGTTTTTTGTTATTTTAACCATTTTCTCCCTGAAGCCCTTGTTTACTCCTCTTCCCTACTCTTACAGCCCTAGGTGGCCTCTCTGAGTTCATTTGAATGAATGATGCCAGCTTAATCATTTCATTTCTTCTTTCTGGTCTCTGGAAGCTGGCCCTACTGAGCCTCTTTCCCCTTGGTCATGTTAGAAAAGGGTCATCATGGGCTTCCCTGGTGGCGCAGTGGTTAAGAATCCACCTGCCAATGTAGGGGACAAGGATTCGAGCCCTGGCCTGGGAAGATCCCACATGCCGCGGAGCAACTAAGCCTGTGCACCACAACTACTGAGCCTGCACTCTAGAGCCCGTGAGCCACAACTACTGAGCCCGCGTGCTGCAACTACTGAAGCCTGCGCACCTAGAGCCCATGCTCCACAACAAGAGAAACCACTGCAATGAGAAGCCCTCACACCTCATCGAAGAGTAGCCCCCCCTCACCGCAACTAGAGAAAGCCCATGTGCATCAACGAAGACCCAACGCAGCCAAAAATTAAAAGAAAAAATAAGGGTCATCATCCTCATGTAGAAGCAGCATTTAATCTCCAGAAAGAGTCACATCCTTGTAGAAGAGGCAGAGTATTTAGCATTGGAAAGCCCCTTCAACATCATGTAGCCTACCCTACTCTGTTTGTCCTCATCACATCAGAGTGACCTTACCGTGTATCTTGAACACAAACTACAGCACATCTGGCTGTTTTAATGACTTCTAAACCCATTAAACATTTAAGTCTAGACATGAAAAGAGTGCCTGGCGGGTAATTAATTCTCTCTTGGCTTTGACATATTTCCATATCACACTTGTCCTTCCCTAGTCCAACTCCCACCGCTAGCCCCAACTGTTAGACCTTTATTTTAGTGTTATTCGGACCCAGTCACAGGGTTCTGTTTCAAAGACAATGAGTGAAATTTAGCCTGGATCTGTTTTCTAAAATTGCTTCAGAGTTCTCTGAAGAATCCTGAGTCTTTCTCATAATGTTTTTATAAAAGTTGTATTCATGTTTTCATTACTTCAAAGAATTTGAAGTGTCATATAGCCACATCTTGAGCTTATGAAAATGAAGTGGTAATCAGAATCCCCAACAGGAAAATCTCTTACTGAAATCTGCATTCCTTTGGTATACTACACCAACTCAAAGAGTCTTCTTTAATTCCTTCTCTTCTGTCCTCCTGCCTCAACCTCCTGCAGAAACTAGTAGTGTTCTGCTACCCAACCTATCAGAGACATGCTGAGCTACTGTACTATGGACTGAATCATGTCCTCCCAAAATCCATATCTTGAAGCACTAACCCCCAGTATTGATGGTATTTGGAGATGGGGCCTTTGGGAGATATTGATAATTAGGTTTAGATGAGGTCAGAGAGTAGGTCCCTTGTGATGGGATTGGTGCCCTTATGAGAAAAGACACCAGAGAGCTTGCTCTCCCTGCCCCCTCCCCCTCTCCCTATCGTATTTTTTTATGGCAGCCCAAGCTGACTAAGATTTTGGTACCAGGAGTGGGGTTCTGTGGTA